TATAATCATCTCATATCCAACAAGCGCGAGTGGAATAATTGTTTTATTAAAAACGTTAAAAAAGAATTATTAAATTTTATTAAAGTTTTAGCTCCTTTTTAATTTTAAGCTGACACGTACGCTTGCCATATTTGTAGATTATGGTATATTGGCTGATATACCATAATGGCTAAGCCAATAAAAAGTCTTGAATTGCATTATCCAATGATCTAGTTTTTAATAATTAACAATTATTCCACGAGCGCGCATTGGATATGAGATGATAGATAGCCAACGAGGCACGTAGCGCCGAGTTGGCTATAATCATCTCATATTCAACAGGCGCGAGTGGAATAATTGTTTTATTAAAAAAGTTAAATTAAGTTATTAAATTTTATTAAATTTTTAGCTCCCTTTTAATTTTAAGCTGACACTTATGCTTACCATATTTGTAGATTATGGTATATTGGCTCATATACCATAATGGCTAAGCCAATAAAAAGTCTTGAATTGCATTATCCAATGACCCAGTTTTTAATAATTATGTTTATGATAGGACCATGCATGCAGACAATACAACAGAATAAAAGTTAAAAGAAGCTAATTCTCAATAGAATCTTATTCCCTTAGGTGTGCGTATGCTATTAAACAACTAAATCATGATGAATGGGTGATACAATCAGCTACTAAATTACCCAAGTCTTAAGGTCACGAAGACAACACATACCCTGCTTTAATTGAGATGCTTCATTGTACTCATCCGCAAGCAATTCTATATTCGATTCGAGACTGTTGTGATTTGATGACTTGTTGAATCATTAATATCGTCCTCTATCGTATCACGTAATTGTGACAAATCAAGTGCATGGCATTTTGCATTCCGAATTTCAAACTACAGAGTCTTGATTTCAATTTCGATCAATGTTTTACTTCGAGGAGGACTCTCGACAGTCATGAGAAAGTAAGAAGATTTGAGAAAGTATATGTCACTGTCTCGAACAAAAAATGTATTGTTCAAGTTCCCAGAAATACTTACAAAGTAATTAAAAAACATGTGAGCTTCTGGAAAAACTCTCCTGCGAGTTAATATCCATCCGAAGTTCGGAACCTGAACCTCATCATCCCAAAGTCATTCATGGCTATGGGGACAGTCCTCTATCCCATAATTCAATGGCTGCTTACGGAAGTAACAACCGGAAGGGAAAAGAAAAGGAAAGCGCGAGGGAAAAACGGCGGGGTCCTAAATTCAAAAGATGAAAAAAATAAATAAATAAATAAATAAAAAGCCTGTTGCTTACCTAGAAACCTACTTCTGTGCTCACCCTGACTGAGAGCCTAAACAAGGTTATTCTCTGTTTGCAGTTGGGGCAAGGGGAAAGTCAAAAGTTTTAGGTCTGATCCTTTCAAGTTTAGCTGCTGTTCAACAAAACTGCATCCTAAGCAATACTCAATTTAGATTAACCCTTCAACTCCCAAGATCTGATTGTGAATTCTCCCCTATAGCTGCTACACATTTTTCTTGTCAATTACAGGTTAAGTGAATTTGGTGTTTAGTCAAGGTAAAACCTTGTACCTTAAAGTTGAGTATTCTCACCACCTGTTTGCTGGATAGTGTACGGATATTGCAGGGAGAAGTTACATGTTAATCACTCCTGAGAGTTTAATTAAGGGTTAACTGAAAGCTAATAGTGGAAGAACAATTATTTTATCGACACAACCCTCTTATAGATAAAAGTTGAAGCTCACTGATTGCATAAGACCTCAGTTTGGGTCAGACTTCATGCAAAGAACTGACCCTTATAGTTTACCAATTCCCTAATAAGGCTTGATTTGATTCATGGACTCTGCTTCTTTCTTTTTCTCTTTTCCTCAACAACACGCTGATTTTCTTAAAATTTTGTAAGCTTGATAACAAGATCCTATTGGGCCAATAGCGGCCGATAGTAGCAACATGGCTTGAAGATCATCATCAAAGTGCAAAGAGGATTTTTGAATGAGAGCAGTAGGGAATGGGGATTGTGGGAAATATCAGGTAGGCTCAGCACCCACCTCACCAACCCCATCCTCATTGCTATCACTATCCTTCTCCTTATTTTTGTCCTTTCCATTATCTTATTGTTGTTACATCATTATCATGTTAATTAGTCAGGTGCACCAAGAGCCCCCTGGACTAGTATCTTGTTCTTGCCTTGATCTATTGCTTTCTCCCACCACACATTTCCCTGCTGTGTAAGATATTGGTGTAGGGGCCAATTTGCATATTATCAATCGAGTGCTACATTAGACTGGTATGGTTACAGCTTGCATAACAACAAACCAATACTATCAAAGTACAGTGCAGAAATGCAGAAATGCTTTATTTCAAAAGTTTTCTGATAAGAATGAGAATTGCTAGAAAACTACAATTATGGTGATTTTAAATACTACAAAGCATACCGTACAAATATAGCACATACCTTCATTACCCCTGAACTAAAAAACTACCATTTGAGTTACCCTTTTACAAAACCCTTACAATATCATAAGTTTAGAGCTTGAATTATAGCCACAGTGTATTTCAAAAATCGAAAATTTTTTTAAATGTTTGCAGATTAAAATTTCCATCGCCTAGGTCACAAAAACAAGGTGATAAACATTTGATAAAAATCTATATCGCCTTCAAAATGAAGTGAGGATATCAGAGTTGATAATACTTACAGATACCTAGGAAGTTAGACACATCACTTGTTCCCACATCAACTATCCTCTTTCCTTTCTCTCTTCCAGCCCACCTTATAAACATGAAATTCATGAAACCCTTCTTCTCTCTAAAGCAGTGCTTTCAATAAGACCCGGCACCCGCCGGAGCTCCGGCGGGTATTCTGTTGTGAATCGCCGGGTATATTTCACCGCGCTCAAGTCAGAGTCACCACGCTAAGTCGCAACCAAGTCTCTTTCCGGCGGGTGTTGTACCGAGGTAGCCACCTATTTCAAATCTTATTGAAAGCATTGCTAAAGCCCAACAATTTCTCATTACAATAAACTTTGAGGTCATGAGCAAAAAGGAAACAATTATTTCAATGTAAACTGGCACCTCCTATATAAAACTTTCCTCTTGTCAGAACCACGGGAAGGTACCAGTTACAGTACATTTCAGTATGATAAAAGCTGTGTTTGAATCACAGTAATGCAGATATTGGAAAACAATGGACAGGACAGGCTCCTGTTGCATAAGAAAGCACTATTTCAATGAGAAAGAGAAATAAAACACTGCCTCCTATCAAAACTAACTTCGACTATGTCCCTCTCAAGTCAAAAAAGTAAAGAGGTTATCAAAGGACCTACTTCGAAGACTAAGTTACCACAAGCACCATACATTACTGTGAAAACACAGGCAAAATTACCTTTAACAGGTACAGTGCATCAAGAATGAAATCTGCACCTGTCCAGCTTTGCAACAAGTAATCTATTAATAGCACTCTTTGTGACACACAGAGAACATGTCCTTCGGACCATGGTTGTTCACAGGGTGGATAATGCTATTCATTCTATCCAGTGGAAATCTGTTTCCATTGACACTATCTCCAGTGGCGGATCCAGGGGGAGGGTCCAGGGGGTCTGGACCCCCCTATCAAACCTGACGCTTACAACTTTGAGACAGGACCGTATATCACTTTTAACTGGCTGATTTTTTTAATGAATCCAAATAAACGGTAAGCGGCCAAGGAATTATAACGTGCAACTGCGACTGGTGGGAGGGGGTGTGGGGGAGAAGTAATTTGCCTCAAAGAGTCAACAATCCTTTCTGAACCAAAGTTTGGACCCCCCTAATCAAAAATTCCTGGATCCGCCTCTAATCTCCTAGATAACAATTTCTCCCTTGGATAGCCTTATCAGCCCTCTGAACAACTGGACTCAGCTAAGGAACTTAGATCAAGAGTTACAAACAAACTGTAAATAACAGCCTTTTCAATGCCTCATGATGAAACCTAGGAAAGAGTAACCTGAGCCTGCAAAGCATTATGGCTGCTTTGCAAATCCACATGCCTTTTTTCTAAATCGGCATAGCGATTTTTCCAATAACCAAGCTCTTTCTCCAAACGGTTAATGGAGCCTTGAAGAATCTCCACTTCCATATTGCGGTCCTCATGATCACGAGCGCTTTCAGCTAAACACTCAATATGGCATTTGCCATATTGATCCTTCTGAACCCTTAGCTGGAATGCAAAAAAGACACAAAATTAACATTTATGGAAATTTCTGTAAGAAAGGTTAAGAAAAAAATCCATGCTTCCTAGTTTTGCTTCCTAGTTTTGCTTCCTAGTTTTGCTTCCCAGTTTTTGTAAGAGGACACACAAAACACCTGGCACCTGACAGTAGATAGAAGGAAGAGTAACACTTCAGTGAACCATGTCAAATTTGTTCATGCATGTACCTGTTCTTCAAAAGCTTGAACTTTATGCTGCAATACATTCAGTTGCTGGCTCAATTCATCAAAGGCATAGCCTGTCAATATTTCCTGCCCAAATATAGAAATGAAAGTGTTTAAGTACTTATAACATTCCCCTATTTACTTAATTAATGTCTGATACCTTCTTCTTTTTTTGTTTGTACATTCAACAGGCATTTTTTCATTAAAAAATATTCATTCATTGGTTCAAATACATATTATAAATTATGACAGCCAAAAACACTCACACATGTCCAAATGATATGTGCTCTTTCATATACAAAATACAGTAAAACAAAGTGGTTGCTTAAATAAAATTACAAACAAGAGCTTACTATAATAATTACAACCTCAGGTTAAATGCTGGCTTAAGACGATACAAAACGAAAAGCAATGGTTGAGCACAGTTTAATAACAATGCCCAAATTGATAAAATTTTAAGAATTTATACGAATATATAACCAAAGAGAAATTAATTATGGGTAAAAAAAAAGGTAACAGAATACCATTGAAATCAATGAGGATAGAAATCAACAAACTTAATGAAAATACAACAAAAAATGGTCAATTGATTCCAGGCTCAGTTGTATGTACATCCGCAATGATTTTTCTTTTGTTAATCATTTCCACACATTCTCTTTCAATGAATAATTCACATTTCTTCACATACAGAGGGGTTAAATTCCTAATACCTATAATTATTGACTGACACCCCAATGTATAAGCAGTTTGAGGCAAAGTGGAACACCTTAACACCATTGTACATGTAGTATTTTAAACACAATTTAGTAATGGACACAAAGTCAATATAAAACCACCATACTCTACTCTGCTCTCATCAACATACTCTGAAGGTCCCTGATCTTGTGACCAGTACCACAACCATTTAATCAGATCTTTTAACCAAGGTTGCCCCTATTAGCCCCAAGTGCCAGTGAAATTTGTGAATGAAAAAGCAGTGATTGCTGGCTAGATTTCTGGCTAGCAATTGCTTTGTAAAACACAACAGGAACTTCTGAAGTTATGTCTCAAAAATGCAGACCGCAGACCTTGAAAACGCAGACCTCAAAAAGTTTGTTTTCAACATTTGGTTATGTTAAAAAAGGATTTTTTTGTAGGAAAATATTTGAAACAGCTGCAATTTTTCGAGTTCTGCATTTTCGAGACACCCCTCGAGGTTTCTTGAAAATGCAGACCTCGAAAAATTGCAGCTGTTTTAAATATTCTCCTACAAAAAAAATCCTTTCTTAACATCACCAAATGTCAAAAACAAACTTTTCAAGGTCTGCGTTTTCAAGAAACCCTGAGGGGTGTCTTGAAAACACAGACCTCGAAAAATTTGTTTTCGAAATTCGAAGAGAACCGTGGTTGTGAAGCAATTTTTTTCGGCAAGGTTGAAGGAGACGAAGATGTTACAAAATCTGCGGTATCTAATGAAGGTTGCTGTTTGTCCTAAACTGGTTGCTATAATGACGGAATTCAAGTGTTTTGATTTCCTACCATTCGGTCTTAATGCTTAGGTTTCCGATCTCCTCAAATTTTTGCATTGCCTTGATAGAATACAAGCAGGTGAAGCCTTTCAACATTTTTTACCGATTTTTCTCACGACAGCAATTGCTATCGCTGAGGGACTTGAATTTTTGCATTCAAGGAATGTGGTACACCACAACTTGAAACAAGGGAATGTCTATTTAAGGAGCCAAATTGTGGTTTTGTCCCACGCTTAACATTGGACGTCTGGGTGTGAATTATCGAAGTAAGTATTATTGAAGTATTAAACCGAGAGTGACTTTCACCAAAATTTGTTAGTTCGCTGACTACTGACTCGACATGAAACAAATCTTCAAATTGATCTTTGCTGACCTCCGGTCATGCATAATGCTTGTTACTGACCAAGTCTCCCTTGCCGAAAAATTGCTTCACAACCCCGGTTCTCTTCGAAATGTCGAAAACAGATTTTTCAAGGTTTGCGTTTTCAAGGTCTGCATTTGCGAGGTCTGCAGTCTGTGTTTTCTAGGTTTGCGTTTTCGAGACATTCACATAGAAGCCATCGTCTTATTGAAGACATTTAAATACATTTATATTCCTGACTAATCTGACTATGCAGTGACTCTATGACTAGTAAAAAAACTCAACAAAATATTTTTTTTTGAGCTGTTTGTTTCCCAAGACTTCTTTCTGTTTCTTGGTTCCACCACTTTGTAAATAAGAGTTATTAGTTATTACCTACACCCAAAGCGTTGCAAACAACTGGGAATAAAACAACATTATCAGGCCGGCAGTCTCTGGTTGCACACAAACTACCTTCTTTAAGGTGTCATTTTTGAGCTGCTTCACCTGAAATTTCAGCTAGCAGCCTAGCTTCTTAGCAACTGCCTGGAAAATCCCCTCCCCCACTCCCTTTCTCCCCCTAATTAAACGCACATAATACTTAAATCAAGGTTGTTACCTGAAAGGGTTGAGTATGACTATAATTCGTAATTTTATAATGTTATAGTATAAGATAACTAAACCTTGCTAGGAAAAATTTTGACAATATCTGTTTAGCAGCAACATTTATCTGGCATGTAAACTCAGATTAACCAAAGAACTATTACATGAAATAACCATCCTAACTGAAAAAGCTGACGTATAAAAGTCATTACCTGTTGTTCCTGAATCTTTATTGTCAGGGCCCTCACATCATTTACTAACTGACCAAAGCCTTGAGTTTTTGCAACAGCATCAGCAAATGCTGAAAGTTGCTCTTTTAACTCAGTGACCATCACAACTTGGCTTCTTTGCTTGCAAAAATAATATACAATCCAAAGAGAGAAATTTTTAATAGTACAAATTTTAATTTCTTTAGTACAAGTTATTACATTTAAGTACCCTCTGGTAACTTCATTCTGGGTATGTACCTGACATGAAATTTAAATACAAACTGATCTGAAAGTGGGTGTATTTTGAATGAACTGTGATCCTCAAAAAAAAAAGTTATTAAACAATTTTTTTTGGAACTTTCCTTAAAGTGTCTATCTGGTCAACAGGGTTATTATTGTTTTGGTATCTCTTTAACCTGTAAAAAAGTATCTCAAAACAAATTTTGATTTTGATGCCTCTTCACCCTAAAATCGAGCTTTAAAGTTCTGCTTTGGCCACGCCCAATAAAGTTGACCACGTAAGGGAAGATTGGTGATGAGCGACGTCACTCCAGGAGCGTCTCGAGCATCGTGTTGTTATACTTTGCTGACAAACGCAGTACTTTTACAACACACCTATCAGGAATATTTATGTCGCTGAAAACTCTTCACCTTACTGAAAAAAAAAAACAGTGAAATGAACCACTGGCAGGATTTGGCACGTTTCTGACTTGACATCACAACCCATTTTTTTCCCCAACTCATAGTCGCCTTCAATGGGCGTGGCCAAAGCAGGAAGTTTAAAGCTCGATTTCAGGCCGAAGACTCGTCAGAATCCAATTTTTATTTAAGAATACTTTTTTACATGTTAAATACATACCAAAACTATAAAAAACCCTTTTGGCCATATAGACACTCTAAATGTTACCTATAACCAACGTCTGTTTCAACTAAAAAAGTTAGGTCACCATATTTGTTTAAAAGATATGATGGGCCAAAATTACCCCATTTATGCCTGTACTGGCACTAATCAAGCCCATCACTTCTCATTGGTTCACATTACATTTTGCAGCAACTGGAAGCAAGAGTTTTTAAAGTAACACTTCAAAAACACTTCATAGGCAGAATTTTTTGAGTGCATAGAACAATTATTTGTGGAAAAATCACACAATTGAAAAGATCGATTGTCTCAAGACATTCCTTGTGTAGTCATGATTTGCATTACTCAGGCTCGAGTAATGGGCTATATGTCTTTTTGAGTAAAGCTAATTATCATTTTACCCTTTCGCAATTTTTTTTATTTCTTTAATTTAAAGAGTATAATTTGTATGCCAAAATTACTGTATATACACCAAAAAATATGGGTCACCTAATGCTCCTTCAAGGGCCAAGGACCTTTACCTCTTTACCTGGTCAATTGATCTTTGAAAAACACAACTGTGTTCTAGGAATGGGTGTGCATGCTTGTTTGCATGCTTGTTTCAATTTTTAAAGACATGTTAAGTCAGCTTGTATACTTTGTTTTATTTTTTTCCACATGAAACCATACCAAATTAGTCAGTTTGGTAATTACCACTTTTTCAATTTCCATGATCTTCTTAGCTGTATTCTGTTGCTCCTGACTTGGTTCACCATCCTTTGAACCACATGCCTATTCAATTTCAAAAGAGAGAAAAAAATTGGAGGTAAACTTCAGGCAATTTTTTAGTGGAGGCCATAATCATCACGTCAAGCACTAGACTAGCTAGTGCCAGAGTCAAATGTTCATTATCACACATCAGCTGTTCAGTAAAAATTGAAAATGCACTGAAAATGTGACAAACTAGCATAATGCTTGACTTGTTAGGCACAGTTTTAGGTTGTACTTATAGGCAAGAAGAATTGGGAAGGCCGTGCACCATGCACACATTGCGCATAAGTAAAGGAGATAATGTACAATTGTACCACAAAACCACTCCCATAGCTTAAGATGCGCCCAGGCCATGGCAACTGAAAAAACATTTTGCAACTGAAATTTCGATGAATTTTTTCTTTGTGGTGACCATTTCTCAATCAGAGTCCCTACAGTCATCAGTTTACAAATGAAGAAACAGGATATTTTCTACAGATAGAGTGAGGATACAAATGCGCTAAACACCAAAACAGACAGTGGCTTGTTTTGGGACCAGGCAGTTAAATAAAATGTAAATATCCTTCATACATAAAACAGCAGACTATTACATCAAAGGCATCCGATGAATACACTTTTGTCTACAAGAATGGTCCAGTAATCAGGAATAAATTACAAACATTAATCAAAACTGACCATGGGGTGAGTGGGAGGGAAACTAAAAATTTCTCAGAAGCTAGAATTATTAGCTTGCTGCATGTTTTTTTGCTTGGTTGATTGCTGATAGAGATACCTTGATTGCTGATACAGATACCTTAAGGCAGTAATCTACTAATAAAGGTAATTTTGCAATTAAATGCTGCATAGCCATTGGCTCTGTCCAAGTCTTATGACTTGCATGCTAACAAATTGCTCAATCTTGATTAAAAGGATGAATATGTCAATTGCCTGTAACCAGTCTAGTCCTCTCAATTATTGATGTTTAAATTGATATTAATCAACATTAATATTCACTTAAGATGGTAATACATAGTGAAGTGATTACTTTCCACCCGAAGTGGACAGACATTGACTTTATAATTAAACTATTTAATTATAATGTAAACTGCAAGGTTCTGTGGAACTGATACACACTTTCTAAAGTGACCTCAACGACAAAAATACCCATGACTGTCTTTTCATCCAGCCCACCCCATTACTGCCATGGTCCATATGTTTCAGAAATGGCCCATAACTTTTGAAAGCCAGGGGCTTTGTAAGCCCACATGTCTGTTTTGCTGGAGATGCTGGGCCAATTTAAGAAAAAAGGTTTATTGAGTTACCATTGCATAATCCACTTGTCTTCCTTCATGGTACTGTTTCAAATGATCCTATTAATGAAGAATACAGGTATATGTATGTGTCAAAGTAATGAAATGAAGATAGACATTTTTTCATCTTATCTGAGAATGAGACAAAGAAAAAATTCCCAATTCCAATGAGCAATTCATAATTTTTTCTTTGTCTTATTTAAGCTTAAAATTCCCTTTCTTTCTCATTCTATTATTTAAGGGGCCTTCAGCACTGCTAGGATCAGCAATCTCTAGTGCAAGTGCTGATCTATAAAGATTATATTATTTCAAATAAACAATAACTGACACTGGGTCAAAATCAACTTTGGCATTCTATGGTTAATTACCACCACTCATTTGGCTTTGCCTCCTATGGCAGATATTAGATCTGAGCCCGCGTAAAAGCGGTTTTGTTTAAAGACCCACGGAATCGAGGCACTTGGGCCAAATTAAGGCTTTGTAAATTCTCAAAGCTATCACTGTATATTACAAAACAACTCGCATTTTACGCCAATTTTTTACTTTTATTGACAATCTGAAGCATTCAAAAGGCGAAGATAGCAATGGTTAGAAGTTGTATTGCATTCGGATGCAACAACCAGAGCGATAAACCACATTGCAAGCATCTTTCATGGCATTCACTGCCATTGAACAACAAGAACCTTCTGGCGACTTGGCTAGTCAAGATCCAACAGGAAAACACGCCCATGAGTTAAAATTCCTTTTTATGCAGCGAACATTTTGAAAAGAAATGCTTTTCCAAGTGAACATTTTGAAAAGGAACGCTTTTCCAAGTCATTTGCTGGCCGGAAAGTCATCATCAATCAAGCGTCTTTCCTTTGGAGCCTTCCTGTTGGTTTTCTGTTCGGAGAAACTGAATATTGTCGGAGCTGAGTCTGACTTAAGACTTACTTGCCAGCCAGCATATGACTTGGAAAAGCCTTCCTTTTCAAAACGCTCACTGCATAAAAGGAATTTTTACTTGCGGGCATGTTTTCCCGTTTGATCTTGACTAACCAAGTCGCTAGAAGTTTCTTGTTGTTCAGTGGCAGTGAATGCCATGAAAGATAATTGCAATGTGGTTTATCGCTCCGGTTGTACATGTTGCATCCGAATGCAATACAATGTCTAACCATTGCTATCTTTGCCTTTTGAATGCTTCAGATTGTCGATAAAAGTAAAAAAATAGCGTAAAATGCAAGTTGTTTTGAAATATACAGTGATACCTTTGAGAATTTACAAAGCCTTTGGCCCAAGTGCCTCGATTCCGTGCATCTTTAAACAAAACCGCTTTTACGCGGGCTCAGATCTAATATCTGCCATTGGCCATTACTGACCACTTATTGTACAAGGGATTCCTAAAATACTACCAACACTGGTTTCAGGAGATAACAAATTTTACTTGAGAGATTATTCTTTGTTTTTGTTTGTTTGTTTTTTTCAGTGGTTCCACCTTGAAGTGACTGTTCAATACTGGTGGAGGACAATTACAAACAGGTCATTGGGACTTAATAAAGGGGAACACATTACTGCTGGAGTTGAAAGCTACAGTATTTTAAGGGGGAAACAATTTTGGTTCTTTGAAAACTGACCACTTATACAGGGTAACCTCTTAATAGAGGAGTGTTTGACCAGAACTCAATACACCTGACTACACCCAAGAACCAACCGGAGCTCTCAAGAGAACCTACATGGAAGTAAATTGCTGAGAAGGGGGGGAGGTAACCTTACCATACAACAGACCAACAGCATATTCACTAGGGAAAGAGACATAACTATAACATGCAGGTGCTTACTGTACAGAACCTGGGAGTAACCACTTACAAGGCAGTTATGGTTCACTTAAAAAATGATGTAACACTTGACCATGCAGGCACAAATGTCATTAGAAATACGTAATCATGCAAATCATTTAACTTACCTCCAAACAAGATACCCTGCCCCTCCAATCACACCTGTTTACAAGACAGGATATCACATGGGCATCTATTTTCTCTGCTGCATCAATGTCTTGTTTGCACTAAACAAGGCAACAAAGTACAAAATTCATAGGTTAAGAATTTAATTAAGTTATTACAAATTCCCCATTTTTTATCTGAGCAAAGATATAAAGCAGATGAAAAAATAAACATTGCAGAATAATTTCTTCAGGGAACTGATTCACACTTGGTTTGTTTATGTTGGTTCTCCACCTTTCAGCCTTTGAGAACTGTTCATAATAGATTTCCAATGCTAGCTTTGTTCAAAGACACTCAAAGAAGAAATTATCTTCTTTTCAACCGGTAAGTTAACAAAATCAAACATTAACTCAACATCTTGCCAAGTCAAAGTAATGTACATTGTAAAATCGCACTAAGGATTTGAATATTCATTGGTCATCATTGCCCTTTTTAACATTCGATATGAGAACTCTGAGGTTTAGCTTCAATGCAAGCAGGAGCATCATGTATAATCCACACATTTTAATTACCAATTATGAAATGACATCTTGAACCCTTTGAAATACAACTGTACCATATATATATGTCCACAAAAGGAGTCTAATGTGATTGATAACAGTATATGGGACAAACTTTTCATTAAACCCTTATCTCAAACTCCATTATGCACGACCCTGAAAAGTACTACAAAGTTATCTTTTGAGAGTACCTGGCACATGAAAATTTGCTTATCAAAAACCATCATTACCTTGGTGTTCTTTAAAAACCTTATTGTACATGTTAGTTTCATTATAAATGATTAATGGCTAAGCATGCATTAAAATGTATATGTACATGATCCTCGCAGTAAAGCACTATAATTTAAGCAATAGAGAAAAAAAGACCTGAAAAAATTCAGGCCTGTATGGGATTTGAACCACTGACCTCTACGATACTAGTGCAGCGCTCTACCAATTGAGCTATCAAGCCAACTGGGAACAGGCCACGAGTTTGGCCATGAGACAAGTCATGTTTGTAATTAGTTAGCACTTGATTTTCTGCCATGTATACCCTACTTGAATGAAAATAATACTTAAACATGAAATTTAATGCAATTTCTTTTCAATTCATAATTGATAGGATTATTTGGCAGTTGTGGACATTATAAATTTGGCTGATGGTAACATCTTATCTTTGTTTTCTATTTTATTTCAATTCTTTCTTAGTACCATGATTGTCTACTGGTCACATCAAACCCATAGCACATGCGATTTAATGATGTACAAGAAAGCATGCAGTTCTTTAGGCCACTAATACATGTACCTCTTAGATTGCACTGAGTTATTCTGATTTACTACAGACCATAAATGCTGGAAAGAGATGGACATCCAAAATACTCCCATGGGCAACATTTTGAGTGAGCAAGGGTAAGGATTTCAAGGATTCAGAAATGTGTATTAAAATCATTAGGAGAATATATTAAATGATCTATGTGAAAAAAAAAAAGGATTTAGGGGACCTTGTATAGTCTACTTTTTAACCCTGATATGGAGTGAAATTAGATTTGTCGGTCCCTTCTTCCAAAATTCATAAGATTGCAAAAATAATTTAAGACAAACAGTCTCAAAATATGTCTTCAACAACAATTTGGGACCCATACTTATCTAGTAAAGGAACATTTAAATGCAGAATACCCTGTGAAAACAAATATATAATTATATTCATATGTGTATAGATCTGAAGATTGAACTAACATATAGGACAACTTTTTCTGTGACTCTGAGTTCCACGCTTATGCAATCCTCAGACAGATTTTCATGAAGATTATATCGCACTTAGTTAAATATAAACAGTGGTGTATAATTGGCGAATCTATTGTAATCTGAGATTGATGTTCATTAGGATTGAAGTATTTATTCCTGTGGTGACATTAGGAAATTAATTCAGTTGTTTTGTTGAGGTTACTTGCTTTGTCGGCTTTATATTGTGAAGTTTTCAGTTAGGTAAAGCTTGCATCGTTTGGGAATATTGTTGCAGGCACTTGCTGAAGAGATGACAGACCAGCTTATCTTGTAGCTAGTTTTCCTTGTTGTTGTTTATTGATACACACACACACATACACACACACACACACACACACACACACACACACACAGTATTCATTTTGATGGCTCCTCAGCTGGGCAAACAAGCAAACGGGACTGACTTAAGAGAAGTATCTCCCATGGTGCCGGTATTTTTCAATTGGGCTTGAAGTTCTATGACATAAGCTCAAACTTACCTCCTCTAAATTTAGATAACGGCCATCGACTGGGCATGCAGCAGCTTCAGAGGAACTACATCATACAAGAAAATGTGTAAGAATTAAAAAGTATCTGATGGAGCTAAAATCGGCTCAGCGATGGAGTGGACCGAAATTGACCTTTTCCTCTCTTACCCTGATACTAGGCGAAAGGTTCGTCTAGTGATTTGAAAGGTTCGTCTCTGTATGAACCTTTCAAATTACTAATGAATCAACTCACAACGAAAATAATGTTTATCTTCGAGTGAAGATGATATTCCTCGCAATTTAGCACGATAAACTTTTTTGTTTTTTCACCGATTGGACGGTGAAGTTCCCCCCTTTCCGAGGGTTTGCGGTCGAACAAAGCTTACAAGCTCCTAATGCACAAATCAAAATGGCGGACGGTGCATCTGGCTCGCGCGAAAACTTTATTTTCGCGGGAAAGAAGTTGCCGCCGCAAGATGTTATCAAATTTTCACAGGATTTCATCTCTTTCTTTAGGAAAATTTTCAGAACATAGATACGTTATTGATGGTCGAATACTGAAACTGACATAAAAAGGAGACCACTACTAAGGAACTGAAATGTCCTTAATAAAAAGTCAAAGCAGGTCTCTATTATCGAATGAACGGAACAAAGTGAGCACCCACCGACCCCCATCACATATCCCAAGATTTCTCTTCTAGTTTTTTCGATCAAAGTAAAATAACTCTACAGGTAAACGCTAATTCACTCATACAATGCAACTGAACTTACCCGGTGGCACAACTGATTTCAATGAGGCAAGTGCGACAAAAAACGTGTCCACATTTGGAAACTGTCGGCTCTTTTGACAAGAAGGCACAAAAAGCGCAAATGAGCCGGCAAAGGTGGGGATCTTTGTCTATTTCGATACGATTTTTTTCTCCTATCTCGTAACCTCCCATTTCCACAAATCGAACACCAAGCACTGCAGGAAAAGAGGCTGTTCCGTTGTAGTCTTCGAGAATATGAATGAAATGACGGTTACAGTTTTGGTCATGTGATGATGTCTAATCCAATCAAAGGAAGACGAGAGAGATCCTTTTTAATCAAAATTTTAAATTTAAATTATGACCTCACATATAGGGTTGAGTCGGTTGTGCCAGCATAATTTTGAGCACAATTAGGCAAAACGAGCGTAATTTTTTACTTTCTTCAAAGAAAAGCGCTACCGGCGTATTTTGCTTTTTTACTTCCACGATGTGAACAATTTTCGTACTTTTTGTTTTGAATATACTTCTCTTGACTGAATTATGCAAGGTGGCCCAAGCTCTGTCACAGGCTCTTTCACAGTGAATAATTAAAGAGTTTGTATAGTGATTTAGTTGGACTTGCTTTTGAGCTCCGTTAATGTGAAATAATCAAAGAGATAACATCTTACCTTCATAGAAAGTAGTCTGTGTTGTTCTCCTCGCGATTTGAGACCGTTTTGATGTGTTTTAGCACAGGGGCCCATACGATCTGTGTGTGTAGCCGACTGTTGTTTTATAGTGAATGTACCAGATTTGCCGTTTGCCTCACCTGTAGTGATACATTGCTGACTCTGTACATAAGTCATTGATAAATAAACGTTGAATTACTTTACCTGTGGTGTATAGTTGTCCTTTTGCCTCAAAAATGTTTTTTTTTTAGCGATTTTGAATAAGTCTGAGTTCGTCGTCAATGTAATGCCAGAAACCGTCACGCTGATTGCCCTTTTCTGATTGGACGACGTTATTTTGAATTGATTTGGATATATCAACAAACTTGAAATGGTAAATTGGCCACCGTCACG